AGCTTTGCGCCTTTCCTGGAACTCCTTTGTAGACCAGGCTGGCCTCGAACTCACAGAGATCTGCCTGCCTCTGCCTCCCGAGTACTGGGATTAAAGGCGTGCACCCCCACCACCGGGCATCTGGTCATTTCTTTCTGTGTTTCTTTTACTACACACTATCCAATCACTCATCAGCCAACAGGACAATCGATACTAGCCAATCATTCATCAGCCAACAGGACAATCTATACTAGCCAATCACTCATCAGCCAACAGGACAATCTGTGCTCTCCAGACAACAGAAAAGCCCTGAATGTGGGTTCTTGGCAATTCTTAAAGAGCCAAAAAGAAAAACAATGCTGGGAGCTCTGAAGAAAAGGGAAGGGAAAGCGGGAGGTGGGGGGAGAAGAAGGGGAGGGGAAGGGAAAGGGGAGGAGAAGAGGGAGAGAAAGAACAAGAAGATCAGTGACATCATCTCTTCTCACCAGATACACTGGCCAAATCTAGAGTACTGAATCTAGAGTACCGAGCTTGGTGTGATTTTTCTTAAAAAAAAAAAAAAAGGAAAATTCAGAAATTCAGAGATGGTATCACTTGAGCAAGAAAATGATTAAAGGCTCAAAAACTAGAAAATCCAAGTTGAAGTTTAGAGAGTTCAATAGAAACGAAACGGTTTGTTTGATAGCTGCTGAGAGAGGAAGGGCCAGTTTTCTTTAAAAGTATGACCTCTGGTCGAAGAGGGTCCAGGGCAGGTGCCACACCCAGAGTATTTGGACAGCACAACTGGGATTTGATGGGTTTAGATGGGTAGATAGATATAGGTAGATGGCATGGGCAAAACTGAAGAACACTGTGTAAAGTGAAACAAGCCAGATGTGGAAAGCAGTTTTTGTTGTGCAAAAGCGGAATTGTGGACAGTAGCCAGAGGAGAAGGGAAAGAAAAACAGAGAGACTTTTACAGCCAGAGAAGTGTGCTGGGGCAGGAGTGGGGGGGAAGGGTGAGAGAAGGATCCTTTGTGGAAGAGGATGAAGGGATAGGATAAATGCATGACTAAATACAATTACATCATTTTCCCTTCCCTTCTCTTGATCCAAACCTTCCTATATACCCTTCCTTGCTCTATTTCAAATTCATAACTTCTTTTCTCATGAATTATGTGTGTGTTCCTAAATACACACATACAATCTGCTCAGTCTGTATAATATTACTTGGATGTATATTTTTTTCAGAGCTGTCTATTTGATACTGTATAACCAATTGGTGTGCTCGTCCCTGGGAAAGACCATTTTTCCCACTCAGCATTCCTTAGTCGTCTGTGATACTTTGTCTAGAGTTAAGGCCTCATGAGCTTTTTCCTTTCCAAATTAGCATGTCTACGGGCATTATCCTTGTTCAGGTCCAGTTTAGGTAGCCATGTGGATGAGACTTCATAGGCGTAGCCTCTCTAACATTTCACAGCACACTCACTGACTTTCCAGCTGCTATAATCTTCCAGCCCCCTCTGCCACAATAATCCCTGAACCTTAAGGGCCCGGGTTGTGTTGTAGAGGTATGGGCTAGGACTGGGCTCTACAACTCAGCATTTTGACTGGTTGTAGTTTTCTGTAATTGCCTCCATCTCTTACAAAGAGAAGTCTCCTCAATGACAAACGAGGACTGCACTTAGCTGTGGCCATAGGACAAATGTTTAGATTGTTGTTAGGGGTTGTGCTGTTTTAGTGAAGTTGTGGGTGTAAGCTCTCCTCTATGACCCATGACTTCACTAGTCATAAGTAGTGGGCTGGGTCTCCAGTACCAGGCATGGTTTCCCTCTTGTTGAGCAGGTCTTAAGTCCGATTAGAGAGCTGTTGGTTCCCGCCAAAGCACACATGCCGCTGCTACACCCTAAGGGCTATCACGTCATGCTGGTCATTGTTCTAGTTCACAGGACTCACAGCTGTTGATTACCTCCCTCCTTTGGAGGTGTGTATGGCACCTTCATGGCCTCTGAGAGGAGGCTTTCAGTTCAGCTCCAGTTCACGGGCCTCTGGGTCCTGTATCTGAAGTACATGGTGTCTTCAGCAATGGGGACTTAACTTCTACCTCCAAGGGTGAACAATTCCCCATAGACATGCCTGGGGGCAACCCAGTATAGATAATTCCTCACAGAGACTCTTTTCCCAGGTGATTCTCAGTTGTGTCAAGTTGATAATTAAAACTAATAAGTACGAGTGATAAAATAAATCAGAAGACTAAAGCAAGGGTTGGAACAGATAAGCCACTGAGACACTGGGTCTTTAATGCCAGGATTCTTAGTGTTAGTCCAAACAGTGCTAAATGGAAGCCAGTGGAGTAAATGAGTGAACATTCTCAGGAAATATAACATTCAAAACATCCTTTGAGTCTATTATTCCTGCTAACGGAATATAACTAAAACATGTATGTGAAATCATTTCCCCCAGGGTCCTTCTAAGCTTTAGTAATTAACAGTTCCTTACATGGCCATCACACTAGAACAGATTTAGATGTTTGTAAATCTGTCTTTTAGGATTTGGAAGGCAGTGTAAGAGAACATGACTCATCTTACCGCAAGTTACCTGAGCTTCATGAGCCTGCTAAAGATGTTGGAATTATTCAATAAACAACCATTGGTCTTTGAGTCCCTTTCCTGTAAGATTATTGGTGACCTACAAAGTGGAGGGGGGAAATACATAAGCCTGAGGCCAGCCTGGGTCACACAGCAAATTTGTCTATGTTTTACCATGTCCTTAAAATCTGAGTGAGGCTGACCTCAGAAGTAATGGGCTAATATCAATGGTGGAAGAAATTTTAAGACTTCAGGCTGTGGCATGACTTTTACTAGCTGATTTTACCCAGGTTAACAATGAGAGTTAGGAGCAAAAATTAGAGGAGGAAGATGTGAAATGTGTAGTTTGCCAAGGAAAAGAACATGCTGTATGCTGTGAACAAAGTTAAGTGTGGGTAAGTGGCTGTGGTTGTTAAAAAGTAGCAGCATACTTTGATGAGGAAGCCAGGAATGTGGCTAGAGGACATCACATTTCAGGAAGCAATAAGACCTCATGGATGGCATGATCCAGAGCATAAAACGGCAAGCTCATTTGAAAGACTTTTCTTTAAAAAGAGAGAAGCATGGGAGTGCCATGCTTGAGCGGACTGTCAAGGAAGATGCTTTCCGAGACTGCTGCACAGACATTCAGGCTGCTGTCATCATGGTCCAGGACCGTTAGGTTACTTAAGATGGTAGCAACACTTGGCTTTGTCCATATGGTGCTGGTTTTACAGGCACACACAATTCAAGAGTTAGGAGATCATGGAGGCATGCACCCAGATTTTAAAGAAAAACATGTGAGGCATCTCCCAATGTGTGGCAGTATTTGGGGGTCAGTGGAGGCTTATGAGATGGAAGCTTGCTAGAGAAGTAGATACTAAAGTTGAGCTCTTGAAGGTGATAGCCTAGCCCCTAACTCCAGTCTTATTCTTTGCTTCTTGGGCTGTCACCATGTGAAGGGACTCGCCTCATGCCTCTGCCATCAACTGAGATTCTCTGTCATGCCTTCATGGCTAGGAATGGCTGAAAACTCTCAGAAATAAATGCACAAAGTGTGTTCCTTCCCATTGATGGTTTCTGCCACAGTGACACAAAAGTCATGTGGTGTCCCATTCGGCTAGCCTTCCCATGTCCTCTTCCTTCCTCCAGTCCTCCAAGGAATGGGTGTGTTAACAGGAAACTGTGATTAACTTCAGCAAGAGGAAATACATGATGCTGTTTCTGGGCAAATGCTACTAAGCTAGACCTAAGTCAATGACTTAGGATTTCTGTTGTGATGAAACACTGTGACCCAAAGCAACCCGAGGAAGAAAGGATTTATTTCTATCAAGATCTCATACAACAGTCCATCATTAAAGTGAGGACAGGAACTCAAACAGGGCAGGAACCTGAAGGCAGGAGCTGATGCAGAAGCCATGGAGGGGAGCTGCTTACTGGCTTGCTCCCCATAACTTGCTCAGCCCACCTTCTTAGAGAACCCAGGACCACCAGCCCAAAAGTGGCACCACCCACATCAATCACTAATTAAGAAAATGCCTTATAGGCTTATCTAATGGAGGCATTTTCTTAATTGAGAATCCCTCTTCCCAAATGACTCTGCTTTATGTCAAATTGACAAAAAACTTGGCAAGAAAGAAGACATGCAAAGAAGAACAGTATGAAGTGCCAGCATGTCATGGCCATCCTTCCATGTGAGAGGGTTTTCTCTGCACACTTAGATAACAGTCCTTTAGCACAGAGTGGCTCATACTCCACTGTGGCCCATGGGCTCCATGCTGTGCCTTGCAAATATCAGATGCTGAGTTACTGTTTTCTCTAGTCGAACACTTCACACAGCAGGAAGAAATGCCAACTGAGAAACAATATACTGAGGTAACAACAATGGAAACCCAGTCCTTATAAACCTGCACTTTTGTTCTGACTGTCACATGTTACGAGCAGGTCATGCAAAGTGCAAGATATCATCTTGCTTTTCAGAAACTTAGAAAGGACACTAGTTACTTCTAGGAAGCTAACTGGTGGCCAGGAGACTTTTAAAAGTAATGGTAACATTGTTTTAGGTGGCCTGATTTGGTATTTGCATCATGGTTTAGAAATCTGTAAGTAAAATGACCAAATTCTTCAAGTTGACTGAAAAAGGACTTGCGGACCTCTGTCCATGATGACTGTGTTTACAAACTGGGGTGCAGCCTGCATTATCTTTAGTGGAAGGAAATATTAAGATTATAATGGGATGGGAGCCCATGACAAGGGGTGGAGATGAGACTCTTCGGAATGCCTTCACTACACAAGGCTGACACCTACCTGTGTGTTTGTATGTCACAGCTCCTGAGATGACATCTCCCTGAGAGAACCTGTCCACATGGTTTCCAGCCTTTCTCACCACCCCATGCTGCGGCTCTCGGGTGATCAGAAACAGCAGTTTTAAGTCATCACTGTCTGCATCAGTAGCAAAAATGTATTCAGGGGTGATGGTCACCTCTCCACCCTCTGAGCAATGCATCATGGGGATCAGGTCAGCCTTCAGAACAGGTGGCTCATCATTCACAGGGAATACCTAAGCAGGATAAAAAGAGCACATTTTTTAAGAAAAAGACAAAGTGACAAATGTCCCAGCTGGTAAACTACCGCTCACAGTCATGGTGACAGGCATTTTTCATCTTCTGGACACATGGAACAATGGCCATGAAATTTGGCCAAAGCAGTCTGAGTTTTTTGACTTTCTCAATTGGTTGAAGGATGCTCCACATGAATGAGAGTCTGTGGCTCTAGCTGGGAACTCAGAGCACTCATTGTTCTCAGAAGACAAAGAGGAAACACAATAGAAAGTATCCCTCACTTTAACACAAAGCCTTTTTCATTAAATACACACATTGCACAGGGATTCTGGGCCCAGGAGTCCGATGCATGTACATCCACAGCATCAAAGTTAGTCTTATTTCAAATTATTTGGTAATTCAAAGCTTTCTGCCACCTTCGACGTCTGGCCACCCACAACGTTTCCATGGGTCCACAGGAAACCATAGCAGTGTTATCAAATGGAATGTGTGATGGGGTTTGGATTGTTTGTGTGTTTGGTTGGTTGGTTGGTTGTCTGGTTGGTTGATTTAATTTTGTGGCTGTTTGTTTGGTTGTTTGGTTTGGTAAAGTCTGGCCTGCTATGAGCCTGTGTACCCTTTCAGCCCTACACATACTTCAGCCAAAGTGATCTTAGTAAACATCAATTTCAAGTTGCTGGTCTGCAGGGACCTTCAATGTCTCCTCTGCTCCCCCCATGATTCTCCTAGGAGTCTCTGGTGTAACGTGCCATGGGTGCCTTCACCACCCCATTTCATCTTCACCCTCCTTCCCAACTATCCTGGCCGCTGTCTCACCCCCGAGCCTGCCCCGTACGTACATACATTCTGTCTCACTCTCTCGGTACAACTAATTTCTGTCTCAGATCCCATGTATGTTTTTCAGGGAAGGTTTCCTGATCACTCAGGCTAATTGAGAAGCTTCTATTACTTACACTCCTGTTCATAAAACACATACACATTTTAATCAACTATCTTTGTGATGATCCAGTTAGTGGCTATCATCATCTGTGATCGGTAATTTCAAGAACAGGAACCTCCTTTATCTTGCTCAGAATTGTTCTACAAGCATCTAAGACCCCCAACATACATTACAGAAGGCACCTACTAAATGCTTGTTGAATGAATAAATGAATGGATTTCCTAGTTACTGTGCATTCAAGGGCTAATGGCTATAAGACAAATACACAGAGAACTATGCTGATGCTTTCCTATCCTTATAGGAATGAGTATATCCTTATAGGAATGATACAAAGATGAGTGCATAGATACTGTAGCTTATTTATCAAAGGTGTAAAAATATAATTGTCTGCTTTCTCCTTTGCTACAAAGAAAAATAATTATCTTTGTTCCTATCTTCTGTGTGAATCCATTAAAGACATATCTTCTTGCTTGACCCTAAGAAATTTTACCAATTTGTTCACATGGATGATAACTGTGAATAGTCATTGTGAGGGGAAGAAACCATAAACAACATTGCCCAAAAACTGTTTTGTCTGGCTTTCAAAAATTATCCCCTTTAACTTAAAAAGTAGCAATAAATGGTTCCTTTCACCAAGATGCGGTGCTTATTGCCAGACATAATAAGATGGTCATATATAACAAGTGGGAGTGGAGTCCTCAAAAAAATAAAATAAAAAAGTAACTCAGAGAATCTTCCTTTGTGTATAGACGTTTGCCATAAAGAAAACATCCCCTCTTGAAGCCGACATGGTCTCCCGCTTTTCACGGAGCCATCATCACAGACCTTTGTGAAGACTGAGGAGGAAAATGAGAGGCAGGCTCTTCATAGAACCTGGCACCTCAAGCAATTAGCCAGGGGGAAGTATGGCCATATAATGAGGAAGAGCCTCACATTACACCATCGCAGTGATAGCTCTGAACCAGCTGTAGATTCTTCAGGAGCCCAAGTGTATTAACTAAAGAAAGATGATTCCTTCCTTGTCTGTTTAAAAAAAAAACTATAGATATCAACACTCTTTATCAGTGACCAGCTATAAAATATCTTACAAATACATATCAATTTTATATCACTAAAATCTAGCCCCTATTCAAACAGGAAGAGATAGAAGCTAGCACAATGAGAATACTTGGTAGCTCTTCAGGGAATGTGATAATTTTCTCTATCGGCAACTATAAAAACGCTTGCAAATCACCCACAAGATGCCCATGGTCTTGGTTACCCACATAACAGGGAAACACCAAAGTTTTCAGAAGTCCTTTGAACACGCCTGAACTTTGTGAGCAGACTTTGCCAAAGGAAAGGGGGAGATGACTTCAAACCAAACCCATGCCAGGGTTGTGGTATTGACATTCCAAATGGAGCCCCACATGCATGGCTTCTTCCATAAGCAAAGAGAAGTCCAGTGGTTCTGGACAGTCTTCCCAGCTGCTAAGTAAGCCTGTGTGCCCTTCAAAAATATTAGACATATTTTATATGCAAAATGAACTACTTTTAAAATTAAGTATCAGGATTTAAGCTTAGAATAATTCTAATATAACCTTTGTCTCTACCAACTGACTCCAGACACACACACACACACACACACACACACACAGGTGCTCTGGCAACCTTCTGCTTTGGAGTCTGTGTATTTTAAGTTGTTTGGGAACCTGAGAAGTTCCCAGAATAGAGACTTTACATTCAATTGATTCAGGGAGGAGACTCTCTACCTACCTCGATGTGTAGAACAAATTCTGCTGAATTTGTGCCATCTGTGACCTCCAAGAAGATCTCATCTTGAAAAACCTCAGATCCGTCATGGTGATACCTGCAGGGAGAGTATGGAAGCTAATCTTTTAGAAACACATGGGTGTAGCCTAAGCTGCATGACGTAAGTACTCCTCCATCACCTTGGCCATAACTTCACTAAATAAAAAGTTATTTAAATAAGTAAATAAAAAAAGAAGCAGTATAACTATAAATGCAAAGGTATGTAAGCACTCAATATCCCTAAATGTAAACTTGCTCTACCTGGGAAAACATTGTTGCATGCATTGGTAATTTTTCCCCCAAATCAAAAAAACAACAAAAACAAAACAAAACCCAGCCTTTTGGAAGCTGGGGAGACAGCTTACAGTTAAAGCCTCGTTCTGTTCTGTTCTTCCATAAGACCTGAGGTCGCCTCCCAGCACCCATCTCAGGCAGCTCACAACCACCTAATAACTACAGCTCCAGGTTCTCTGAAGTCTCTGGACTCCAAAGGCACCTGAGTTCACATGAACATATATATCCACATATATGCATGTATATTTACATATGTTCATAAAAACATAATTATTTACACACACATAATGAAAAATAATCTTGAGACTATTCAGAAAGCAGTCTTCACATGGCCTCCGTGACAATGGGAAGTACTTGACCTGGTACCTGTGTAACAGTGGAGCATGCTGGCTGGAGCCAGAGTGACGCTAAGATGAAGCAGAACACTCCGAGGACTCCAGGATGCCCATGCCTCCCAACATTCCTCCTGTGTTCTAACACTGCTCCTCTCTGAGGCCTTGCTCTAAGAATTAGGTATCGCCTCCCTCCACCATATTTCAAGTTCCATTTACACATTCCTCATCTCTACCAGAAAAGACTCTCACATCTCCCCAGGTTTAAAAATACCTTTCTTTGTTCTAACCTTGGCCCTGTATTCCTCTTAATTCTCAGCCAATTTTTTTTTAAAGAAATTGTATAATTCTAGGCTTTTCACATACTTTCTAGCCCACTACAGTGACACTCAGTTAATTCTAAGTAGCTCTTGAATTAAATTGAGCCTTTTTTTTTTAAAAAAAAATCACACCGGTGGTTTGTTCATACTAACAAATGGAATTATAACCTAGGAATCAAAAACAAAAGTGTCAATAAAAAAGGACAGTATATTGAACCTATATGATTTTGTTATATGGATGAAAAGGACTATATTTTATTCAAGATGGGCCACTAGTAGGGTGATAATGGACTTAATCCTTATCTCTCATACACATTAACTGCTGTGCTCTGTTTTTCACGCCTCTTACTGCTTTCACCAAAAATAATTATGAATAACAATGGGCTGATCCATTTCACAATGCTGCTGCCCCCCAAACAGCTAAGTGTGTCTGAGGACGCATGCGTGTGAAGCGGGACAGTGGAGCCAAGCAGACTGGTAAAACCGGACTCCTGAAAATCCTCACAAGTGCATCAGCATCGCTGTGCTTAGTTCTGCCTGAGAGCAGAATGACGTGCCTTGTCAGTCTTGATGACTCAGGTTAAATAACTAAAAAATACTTCACTGCAACTCTCCAGACAGGCAACTAGACATAGAATGCTAGCAAACGTTTCTACTTTTCTCTGTCCGCCATTCATCTCAGCACTGTCTAAACAAAAGCCTTTCCTTAACATGTAGATAGGAGCTAAGATTTCAAATCCAAACTAGAAACAAAACAGAAAA